TGTGTGTGGAAGCCCATTTACGAAGGTGCTTGGCAAAATGGCGGTTTTGCATATTTTATGAGAATTTAAATTGATAGGGCGACACGAATGCGAATATGTTGATATACTATATACATATGTGCATATAACTGTGGGTGTAGAAAAATATATTTTTGTGTTAAATAATAATAATAATGTTAGAATTTAATTTTTTTTGCAACTTTTATTGAAAGTACATTGGAAAAATTGTAAATTATATTGTTAATTATTAAAAAACAAAAAAAAAACCACAATAATATGCGAAAACAAGAACAAAAAAGTTTAAAAACTCAAATTTTCAAACAAAAAAATATTATAATAGCGCTTGAGTGCTTTTTAGAATGACATTCTATTGAATCCATTACTATATGACTTTATTAGAACACTTTATGAAGCACACACAAAATCAGATTTTCGAAAGCAATTTATTCATTTTTCGAAGTTAGCCTCCAAAATGGAAACATTTCTTTTCCAAGTTGAGTTTTAAGAGCTTCATTATTAATTATAGTAAACAGTGATATCATACACCTTTTCCTCTTATTTTAATGGTCATATGTCAACGGCCCAGGATTTTTTTAAACGAAAGTGTTAATTTTTTTCGAAGATCTGACTTTGATCCTATGATAGATTATTTCTATATTATTAACTACTTAATTTTTTCACTATAAGAATGATAAAGCCCTTTCAAAAACCTTAAACTCGAACTGCAAAAGTAACTATTTCAAAAAGCCTAAATTCGAACTTCGAAAGTTAATATTTCAAAAAGTAAAAATTCGCACTTTGAAAATTACTATTTCTGATTTCGAAAAAATTCAAACTTCGATTCTAAATATTTTAACATGCCTAAATTCGAACTTCGAAAGTTAATATTTCCAAAAACCCTAATCCGAACTTCGAAAGTTAAGATTTCAAAAAGCCTAAATTCGAACGTTGAAAATAATTTTACAAATAACTGAAATATGAACTACGAAAATTAAAATTTCAGATTTCGAAAAAATCGATCTTCGAAAACTAGTATTTCTTAGGTCGAAAAAATTCGAAATTCGAAAGTAAATATTTCAACAAGCAGAAATTCGAACTTTGAAAGTAAATATTTTTGAAAGGCGAAGTTCGAACATCGAAAGTGAATATTTCTGACTTCGAAAAAATTTCACAATACGCAATGCTGCAGAGCTCGACTTTAATCTCTATTTAACTTACTTAAATAGAGCTTGTATTTAATCATTGTTTCTAATTAGCATATACGTATTAAAAGACATGCACAGTCGCCAACAGTAGACAACAATCCGTCTCGATATAACAGTGTAAAATAGCAAGCCATACGAGTAATGGAATTAATCCAGCTAACCACCTACAATTCAATTAGAATTCGGCATACTGAATACGAAAAAAGTTATAACCTTGACAAATCATAACCCCCAATTTCATAGAGGTCGACAGACTGCACTAGCAGAAAGTCAGAACCTGAATAAATCATGACTTTTTGTGGGCTGATCACCTGAAAGAATGAGTAGTAACGCCATCTTGGAAGCATCGCGGTTTGGCGGATTGCTTGCTACTTACATATATTAATCAATTACATATTTATTTAAAACATTTCCGATTGTGAATTTCAAACAATGAGCTGACTTAAAGTAATCAGTAAACCTCAAGTTGCCGCACTGCTTTTCAACTCGCTGTAACTAAAGAAAACCAGTCCAAATTCTCTTTTAAGGTATCATAAAGAGTCGCTACTTAAAAGTGCTAGGAGTCTTATGGACTACGAGCAGTGAATAAAATGGAATTAAAGTTAGGAGTTACAGACCAGAAACACCGGGAGTTTGGTTGGGAAGTTCTTATGTATCTATACCATAGATCATATCTGGCCACAATTGACTGCTACCAATCGAAAATACTACCTTTTCAGGAGAAAGCAGAAACTTGACTTGATGACCAGTTTCCGGACACTGCTCGAGGCAAAGCAATTATCAATGACTGTTGTTCAAGATAATAGGTACTCTAAAGAAATCACCTGAATGTGTGCATCATATCATTCACGAATATTTGAGTATGAGAAATCTAGCTCCATTATTTCACTCCGAATTCTAATCGAAAATCAGCCGAGTGGACTGCATATAATGGATTTGCTCCAAAGAGTCGAAAAACGCTACAGTCGGCTGGCAACGTTCTGGCACCTGTACTTTGAGACTACCTTGAAAAAGAAAGGACCATTAACAGTATCTGTTACATAGAGTTATTGGACCGTTTGAAAGACGAAATGCCGTTTCACTTGGTGAATGCGACAGTCTGGACTACGTAACCGGAACGTACCCGGATTTTTATTCGGCCAAGAACTGTCAAATCGGCAGTATTTCGAAAAACTACGTCAGAAAATTTGTCCGTCGCTGCGATAACAACAAAAACCGAATTTCTATCAGGTTGACAATACATATATTATCTTTCTGGTTTAGTTTGTGGAGAAGAAGTCGGTTGAAACTTGTTTTGAACTAAAGTACTACATTGAAAGCTCTGTGTCCCTGTTTAAAGTACATTAATATATTTATAAACCTGCTTAGCATTATACCAAACATCAAAACACAATTTGCTAAATTCAATTTTAGTTCAACTCCATCAAGTCGCGCATAATAGAAATAGAAATCCAGCAGGTAATGATTGTGAAAATAATAAGCGTATAATTAAAACAGAAACCTCAAAAACATGCAACTAAAACTCAACTCCACGGACAGAAGACTAACAAAGTCTGGAGTGTATAAACGAACGAACTGTATTAAAAAATAGTGGACGGCAAATATAAATGGTATATATATGTATATATATAACGCTGTGCGTGCATAAAATTCATTTGTTCTCTCGCAATTACCGACTTTTAAAGGCAAAACTTTTTATCTGAATTGTTTTTTCAATTTATTAACTTTTATGCGAGCATACAGCGTTGCCACACTATCGCTGATTATACAGCACACTTGTAGCTGGAAACTATAACTACACCCAAGGCACCACACACATACATACATAAGCTTATAAAAGTCATCATTTATTCCTTCATTTGTTTCATATAATCACTTGAAATGTTTGTTGACTGACACATGACCAGTCAAACTTTTGCCATCAACCAACCCGCGCTTGCCACCTTTACGCTGCAACCCCCGAAGCAGTCTCAGGTTTTTTGCAAAAACCAAAAAAAAAGGAAAAAAAAAATAAAAAACCGAAGAGCAACCAACGGTAAAGGTGCGCAATTTGCGGTGTAATTAAAATCAACACAGTGGCAAGTTGTAAGCACATACACATATATACTTCAAATGTACGAAAACTCGTATATGAGCATTTATCAGCAACGTAGTCAGCGCTGTTGAAATGTGATATTAGTGGAGCCCTCCGCACGAAGCATGCTTACGCAGCTGTCATACGTACGCTTGAGTCAACTTTAACCGACACAAAATCGCTATGAAAATCACTAGAATGTCAATAAGCGTGTTAGTTGAAGTCAATTGCTCTTTCAACTCTGGCTCGCACTTCTTGTGCAGTTTCTATATTTGATCTTCTTTGCACATAATGAGTAAAGTTTGGGCGCGGAGAAGTTGAAATGTGTTGACAACAACTGTTGAGTTGAAGTTGCGAGTTTTCGAGAGAAAAGTTCTGCGAAAGATTTATGGTCCTTTGCACGATGGCCACGGCGAATATCGCATTCGATGGAACGATGAGCTGTACGAGATATACGACGACATTGACATAGTTCAGCGAATTAAAAGACAGCGGCTACGGTGGCTAGGTCATGCTGTCCGGATGGACGAAAACACTCCAGCTCTGAAAGTATTCGACGCAGTACCCGCCGGGGGAAGCAGAGGAAGAGGAAGACCTCCACTCCGTTGTAAGGACCAAGTGCAGAAGGACCTGACTACACTTGGAATATCCAATTGGTGCCATTTAGCGAAAAGAAGAAACGACTGGCGCTCTGTCAAGAAGAAGATCTCAAGAACTGAGGAAGCAGTACGCATATATATCGGACAGTTGGCCTTTATTTATAGCTATATATAAATTTAGTTGTGGAAAATAGTCGCGACATGGAAGAATTTCACTGAATCTGCTACTTGAACGTAAAAAATTCGTGAAAACTTAGCAAAAATGAACTCGTCAGAGAAAAAAAAACTTAATCATGCGAGAACAAGGTCTGAAGAACTAAGGATAAAAAATATATATGCCTCAAATATCGAAATTTTGTACCTCGAAACTGGATTCGATTCTAGTAACTATGAAGATGTATATAAATGTGCAAGAATTGCAGCCGCCCAGAAATATCATCGTTCTATATTTCGTCAAAAATCATGCCGGTGAGAACGTAACTATCAATGGCGACCTTTCTCGCGCCTTGATAACCGACTATTTGATGCCTGATATTGAAGTTCTTGAAGTTGAGTTGATCTCGACGACATTTGGTTTCAACAAGTCGGCGCCACTTCCCACACATCTCATCAATAAATGGATATATTGGGAGAACACTTCTGTGAGCAGATGATTCCATGTTTTGGGTTGGTCGATTTGCCACCAAAATCGTTTGATAGCACATACTTTAAACTTTCTCCTGTAGGAATATGTAAAGTTTAGAGTCTATGCAGACAGTCCTACTACGATTCTGGCATGGTGTCATTCGTCAGTTACCTGTCAAAATGCTCAAACGAGTCATCGGAAATTGGACTCAAGGGATAGATCATCTGAAACATAGCCACGGCCAACATTAGAAACAGATAATCTTCACGAAATAAATGCCATAGAATGTGCTTTCGAATGATAATAAGTGTTTCACATTGAATTTGAAATTGTTGAGTTTTTTCTTTCAAAAAAAAGTAGGGAACCTCGAAATGGATCACTTTCTATAAAAATAAGATAGCTAAGATCTCCAACTAAAAGCAGTATTTTCCACATAATATACTGATGCGGAAAATATTTTATTATTTATTTCTTATTATATATTGCTTTATTCTTACCTTGAAGTATGTTGATTCTGCGTTTTAGCCACACTTGCTGCTCATTCGTTCATTGAAAATTTAGATGACGAGTTCTTACGACATTAAATCGGTACACTGAAATAATTAAGATTAGTAGTCATTTATATAGAATTATTATACATATTACGGCACAAAAAGCTGCTATAAGATTGAGAAATATAGGCTATTTATGGTAAAATACTATTAAAAGTCATTTACTTCATAATTTTAAAATTAACAGAATCATTAAGACTTTCTGAATAGCAGATTTTCAAACGTGAGACCTACATAATAGCCTAATGACTATCTTATAGCTAAGTTTGGTTTACTAAGTAATAGTTTGAGAAATAGTTACTAAGAAGCTGATTCTCAAAGTCATTTTTAAATAATTTAAATCTTTCAGTCTTTAAAGAGAAAAGTTTAAATACCAGAAAAGTTAAGTAAGAAAGTTAGTGATAATTCCAATAGTAATATTAGAAGAAAATCATGGTATGGGATTTGTCTTAAATATTTTGAGATAATATATTACTCTTCTCCCGATCTTAACATACACACCACACTAGCACACAACATCGACTTAGACTCACAACACTGATACGCAACTTTTACCACACACAGCATATAACTACTTACGATCCACATTATACACTACGCACGAAAGTACCACACATCCACAAATACACAGAAATACACCGACCACTATCACATGACCTGATTCCTCACCCAAAATGGACGAAAAGGGCAGATGGGGCATTCATCCTACATACAATACTAATACGAAGGTGAAGTGAAAAAGGTGAGTGCGCGCTAATACAAATACGATATTTATAACCTGTTCCTCAGAGTAAAAAGAAAACTAACATTGTAATTCTCCATAACGACTTGAGAAATTATTTACAAGGACAAAATATGATATTTATAACCTGTTCCTCAGAGTACTATTAAAAGAAAATAGGTCATGTTTCTACAACCGTAAAAAAANGAAATTATTTACAAGGACAAAATATGATATTTATAACCTGTTCCTCAGAGTACTATTAAAAGAAAATAGGTCATGTTTCTACAACCGTAAAAAAAACTAACATTGTAATTCTCCATACCGACTTGAGAAATTATTTACCAGGACAGAAAACAGCTGTGGAAAGCTAAACAAACATATTATCAAAATTTTTTCGACGGAACACAAACAAATGAATCAATATTACATAATATGCTTTATTTCACCTTCAGGGATTCATCTTACATACACCCATTGCATAAATAAATTTTCATTGCGATAGATAAAACTTTAGGGATTTAGGAAAGTCTAATGTATTTTTAAGTAGCCTGCCATAACGGCAATAAAATAGTAATAATAGAAAATTAGCTATAATTTCTCATCATATTTGAATAATTTACATTTACCCCGCTATTTGTTTACATAGGAGAAATACTAGCGAATGATGAAAATATTACGAGTTTGTGTACTTAGTAAGGCTGACATGGGGTAATTTGTGGGCTAAAGGAGATTCGAAAAAAGTATGTACCCGCTTTCCCATATTTTGTGCCGCGCGAACACCCATGTTCGACCATCCTTATAAATAGTTAATAATACTACAAAAGTCACATGCGCTCCAAATTACCAAATCATCAGTTAATAACCTAATTACAGTCACCGTAATAAGTGTATGACACGAGTCTGCCGACTGCTTTTCGGCATATTATGTGGGCTATAATAAAATCTAGGCAGACATAAAAATTAAGATTTTCCTGCACAGATTACTTAATCAAACACATTATTTAGCCGTAGACACGTTGGCGTTGAAAATTAATCATACTTAAGTGAAATGATTAAACCTCTTCAGGGACAAATAGTTTAGTAGCAGTTTGCAGCAGTTTGAATCAAGCAAGTAAAATAAATAATAATTATATGTATGTATTCATTTGAGACCTTATAATGATTAGAACCCACAAATATGAGTATATAACCGGTTGGTAAACATATCTTCAAAGCTAACGAATAATAATAACATCAAGCAACAGTAACTGTCCGTTGATTTAGGATTTTTATTCTAATAAAACAGTTGTATATATATTATTTATAATTGAAATGTAAAGAGTAATCGATGGTGTTCCGCTATAACTAAAAATTATTATAAAATTTGAACTGGATGGCAACGCTTAGTGAAGTTTCGCATACACTTGTTACAGGTCTCGGCTGGTGTGATCCTCATTTCTTTCAGCAAATTTTGTCTTTTATGCTTTTGACTTTATAAACGCCATTCGCTTGATTATTTCATAGTTTTGGCATCATATTCATAAACTTAGGCCTTCTATTTCTTTATTGGCGTAGAACTGCGTAAAGCTAGACCTCGTCACCAGTAATAATGTGTTAGATAAATGTAACGTCCTCAGTTGTCATACACCTCTTTTTCTGATTCGAAGTCGTTTTTTCAAAGATTCAGGCCTCTTGGTACGAATCTAGCTTAGACATGCTCCATATCCAAAACATTAACCAAAATGTGTTTAGACCCTCTGCTACCCCACTGATGCTAACACGGCGATTTTCAATTACAATTTGTTTAACTTTTATGATATTATCAACAGAGGTGAATGGACACTCGCATGGTACAAGGTTTGGATTGCTTCGCAACCTTCACAGGAAATTTTGTGTCACTAAAGTATTTGTGTTTGTGGTAAAGCAAACTCCCCAAAACACTTTTGCAACATTTTCAAGAACTTAGTAGTCCCGATTCCATTGGAAACATAAAATTTCTATTAAACTCGTTGTTAGTTTTCTTTTCATGATAAAAATCACCAAACAAACATTTATCATCCTAAACAAAGAGCTGCCAAATACATACTCATTGACATATGGAGATCAAAGTTCTCAAGAACATAAAAGTTATTCAAATCTAGGAAAGATCTGTATCCTTTCGGCTATTCAATCATTTTTAAAGCTTTAACTACCTTTGGGGTAAACCTTTTTTATTTTACCTCTCCTATATAAAGCAATTACTTTGAAATAGTTTACCAAATATGTACAGTTCAGGCTAAAATAGCGCTCGAAAACGAAGGAAAACCCCAAAATTAATTAATTTTAAAGAACAGAGATCTCCTGGTTAAGAACACAAAGTGATCGCTTTTGAAATACCTACGACGATGAACCGCTTTCACGGATTTTCACGTATAACTTTTTATACTCTCGCAACAAAATTGCTAAAGAGAGTATTATAGTTTTGTTCACATAACGGTTGTTTGTAAGTCCTAAAACTAAAAGAGTCAGATATAGGGTTATATATACCAAAG